AGCTTTTTCTTTTTGTTTCTTTGTTAGTTTCCTTTTGAGGCTTCTATATTGAGTGACTTGAAAAACACTCAAAGTCATGCACTATACACTACAACTCCTTGTGTCCAACCTTGTCCTTGGCCTCTGGAAGTGAATAGGTGAATCACAAAGCATGTAATGGTGGCAGGATCTGGACTCTCCTAGGAGGCTAACTGATGATCTTGAGACTACATAGATTTTACAAATCTTTTCAGAAAACTATATATGTGGGAACAACTACACAAAACACAAAAGTGCCTGACTTCAGCCTTAAGTGTATACACAATACAACTAGACCTTCACATATAGTCTCTTACTCTGACCCCTACTAAAATAGATATGAGCCTATTAATAATATCAATGATAATTTGCCTATACATATATTCCCTTTTTCTTACCAATTTTTTAGTAACATTGCATCTGCATTTGTTAAGGTTTTCTTTGTATTCTAATATTAAACAGTAAGATTATATATCACCTTCCATACATTCAGTTTTTCATAAAATAAACTAATTCAGATAGGACCTGTTGAATGACAGTTATTTCACTAGTTTCCAGGCATACAACAAAATTTCTTCTTCCCCTGGTGTAAAGAAATAGGGGGAAAAGTCAATTACTATGTAACATGTCAACTGCTACAATGTAGAGTAATTTTATGTTATGGGTCTGGAAGAAACACAGGAGGGTGGCATAAACAGGTGGGGGGAAAAGGTAGCAAGAAAATATATGGCCATGATGCAAACACCTAAGAATAAAACTTAAAGTGGGGAGATAGAAAGATCCCTGTGAAGGTAAAATCTCCCAATGATCATCCTGCTTATTCTTCCAATATTACACAAAGATGGGCCCATCTTACCATATCCTAATTCACATGAACTTCAACAAATTTTCCATTAAAGCCAACAGGATTAGTGCAACCAATAAGAGACTGTCTGTATGCTAATTATATCACTTATATACTTATGACTTGTATAGTTACAATCACTTATATGATTGTATAATGCCTGATATTGAGGAGAAGAGTGCAGACATATCAATACCTCTAATGACTGCCATGGGTCGTCCCAGATCTAAATTATTACCATGCATGGACAAATGAACATATGCAGTTGAATGCTTGACACAGAGGGTAACTCAGCTCAAGGGTTGCATTGTGGCCTCAGGACCAGGACCTTAAGAGAAGAATGTGGAGTATACCTGGAGTCCCTTCATGTACATTTCTAAATATAGGAAAAACATCAGGTAAATGCTAGATGATAATAGAGCCCCTCTGTTCCAATTCTTCCAAGATAGAGTTGTCTGGTTTCCTTTGACTGACTTTCTTTTTTACTATTTCATTAAGCATGCTGTGCTATGAATTATCATTCCAGTCACCCAATCGCTTTGTCATGAGCTAATTGAGTATGGTTAAGTTCACTCACTTCTTGATGCTGTTTGAAAGGATATTTTATCTCATTTGAAAATTTGTTGCATCATTTTACAAATCAGATGCTCTGATGATTGCTTACAGAATTTGATGATCTTTATTTTATATTAACCCACTCAACAGTATTTATTCAGTCTATACTATGTACTTAAGATAGATTCCTGCCCTCAAGACACTGATTATGTTGGGAAGAGAAATACATAATTGAAGAAATACAGTACTCAGGGGAAGGTGGAGGATACATAGAAAGAAAAAATGATATATTTCTACTTGATTAGGATGGGGAGGGAAGAAGACTAGAGATGGCGATGTTTGAATTAATGTTGAAAAATGAATAGGTGTTTGGACAGTAAATGCGACATAAAAGATGAAGCATAAGAAGCTGTCTGAAAAAAGGTATGGAGACATGAGTGTTTATGGAATAAATGTGCTTGTTCTGTCCAGATAGTCACCGGAAAGTTTTTGTGACTAGAAAATTCCAAAGTAGTCTGTACCTGTATCTTAGATTCCAGAGGCAGGAAGAAGGAAGGATGCTAAAGTATATGTACTTGATCTTGAGATCCATAGGGAGTTATTAAAGTTGTTAGTAGAATGTATAACATGATAAGCTTTGAATTTTTAAACATGTGGTAGGGTAGACAAATAGATTGCTGAAAAAGAATAGAAATTCTATAAACGAACCTATGTATTTATGGTGAATTGGTAAATTACAAAGATAGTGCTTTAAATATGTGGGAAGAGGAAACTGGATGAGAAAGTCAAATACCCTATTATCATTCTGCAAGCATTAGAATTCTGAATCTGCCAATTAATATCTATATGAATTGGGCAAAAACAAGGCCAATAAGATAGGATTAAATTCAAAAGTAAATGGCACAATTGATGTTCAGTAAATATTGGTGATTACTATACTATTATAATGAAAAGTTGGCTATTTATCTAAAAAAATATTTAGATTCATATTTTTCAACATTTATGAGAATATATTTCAAATGGATCAATAACCTAAACTTTTAAAAAAATTATAGGTGTATTTGGAAAAATATAGAAAAAGTGTTTATGAATTTTAGACAGAGAAAGCTTTCTTAAATAAGAAGCAGAATGTAAAAATGTAAAAGATTTGTAAGTTTGAAAATACTGCAATTATGGATTTTCGTGCAATGCACTCACCCAAATAAAGAGAAATGACTAAGCAGAAAAGTATCCAGTATGCATAACAAGTTGTGGCAAGGATGTGGGGAAATAGGTATACATGTGGTGCTCATAGGAGTACAAATAGATAGAACTTTAGAACACTTGCAACCACTTTTGGGCAAGATCCAATAAAATAAAAGTGACAGATGTTCTGTGAACTCATTTCTATTTATTGTTTACATATAGTCATCCTAAGGTAATTTACTTTAAAAAGTTCAGCATGAAGAGTGTGATGTAAATGTGTAAAGAAGAAGTCACACCTATGCACAAAGAAGCATATGGAAGGGTGTTTATTGTGCTGCTATTTGTAATACAAAAGAAATTCAAAACAACCTACATATTCATCAAAAAGTTTTGAGCTATGCCTGTGGCTTGTCATAAGCATTTAAAAAGAATATTATAGAGTCAGATTATTTACATGAGAATAACTGTAGGAGCTATTGTTAAGAGAAAAAAAAAGTTGTAAAAACAGGTATAGTGTGAAGTCTGTTTTAAACCACAAAAGTATATAATTGTTTACATAAAAATAATCATTTATTAATGGATAGAAGAAGTTTGAATACTATACCTTCCTTTTTCTAGTATCAGAATTCCTCCTAGGGAAAATAAGTGTCATTGGCTGGATTATAGCTCATTCATCACCAACCCATGATAAGGATGGACACATGCTCCTGGCTGGACCAATCAGGGCACACTTATTCCCTTTGCTATGGTCATTAGTTTTCACCTGGGTGGTTGAAGTCAAGATAATTAGACTTAACCAAAGATTTTACTGGACAGTTGATGTATTCTCCTGTGAGACAACTGAGGTAAAATAAGCTTTAAAATTGAGTAATCACATTTGCCACCGCGTTGGAAAAGTCTACACGGATTTTGCTTTCGTTGTGCAGTCAAACCTAATCCTTACTAATATAAGATGTATGCCTCCTTAACCAACAGGGAGAAGTGGAAAGGAGAAATCTAATTTTTTTTAAAGGCAGAATTTGTCAAAACATATTAAACTGCACCACCAGAGATCTTGGAGATCTGTATATCTTACTGTATGTAAATTTTTAAAAAATAAAAGGAAAAGAAATGCAGAAAGGGGGAGAGAAAAGAAAATGATGGTAAACAGAAATATAGGATGGTAGGAATAAAGTTAAACACAGTAGTCTCAATGAGTATGACTAAGTTAAATTCTCTTGTTAAAAGACAAGTGCTCAGATTTGACAGTGTAAAAGATTTTTTAAGTTTATTTATTTTGAGAGAGAAAGAGACAGTGAGAGTGGAGAAAGGGCAGAGAGAGAGAGAGAAAGAGAGAGAATCTCAAACAGGCTTCACACTGTCAGTAGATTCAGAGGCAGGGCTTGATCTCACCACACCATGAGATATAACATGACCTGAGTCAAAACCAAGAGTTGGCCGCTTAACTGACTGAGCCACCCAGCCATCCCTCAGTTTTGATATTTTAAAAATCATATTGCTCAACTGTGTTCACAAGACACATCTAAAACAGAATGACATAGGATAGTTGGAAATAAAGAAAAGGAAAACTACACTTATACCATAAGACTAACAATTCCACTCCTAGCTGTCTACTCAAAAGAAATGAGAGCACATGTCTACAAAGAGACTACATAAATGCAAATGTTTTTGATCTTTAGTCATAACAAACAAAATGGATTTGTAAATGGATAAACATTTGTAAATATATAAACATATGGTGGTACATTCATTCAGTGGAATACTACTCAGCAATAAAAGAAATAAACCACTGATAAGACAGTATAGGTTAAGTCTGGATTTGCTGACGTGGGGACCTAATAAAAAAAAAAAAAAAAAAAAAAAAAAAAAAAAAAAAAAAAGCCAAATACAAAAGAATACATGCTGTATGTTTCCATTTACATGAAAGTCTAGAAAAGATAAAGTTAATCTATATGAAGGAAAGTAAATCAGTGATTGCCTGAGATGAGGGTAAGGGGTTACCTGGGTATAGGCATAAGGGAATTTTGGGAGGTGATGGAAATGTTCTGTATTTTGATAATTGTGATGTTCACCCAAATATATTGATTTTTCAAGACTTCCACAAATGGGCGCATTTCATTGTATATAAATTATACCTCAGTAAAAAAATAAATGAAAAGGGCAAAAAATAGAGAGGAGCACAGAAGAGGAATAGCTCATTTGTTTTTAGAGACACAGAGCAAGTAGGCTTCTGTGAACAGGAATCAGAGTTCTTTTTTTTTTTTTTTTTTAAACGTGGGATCTGAAAATAGCAAGTCTGTACAAAGTGGAGGAAGAAATAAGTGTGTTCCAGACAGAGGAAGCAATAAGCACAAATTCAAGAAACAGATGAGAAAGACTGTGGCTCATTTGGAGAAACCAAGCAAGAGCACAACAGTACCAAAAAGAACAGGTGCGACAAAAGAAGAACCGCATAGGTGAGACCATCTTTACTTTGTTCTTGAACATGAATGACATTTTCTTCAGTGATAGAATTCTTGGCCCCGCTTTACTTTACACATTAATATTCTGCAGTTTTTCTTATTATCATTGGGCACTTAGTATTGTTGAGAGGTCTGAGATTGCCTGGTATTGGTTCCACTGCAGGTAAATAATGTTCTGTTTCTCATTGACTCTGGGTCATCTTTTGATCTTGTTTTAATAATATAATTTTTTCTTGATGGTCAATGAGTTGTTTCCTTTTGGCAATCTTATCACTCATACCCTGGGACTCCTAGATCTACACTCTATATCTTTTCTTATAACTTTATAACCTCCATTTCCAATGAGTTTTAAGGGAAGCTTTAATGCCTGTTCTTCCCCCGATCTGATCTTTTTGTCTTATTAACTCAGTGGTTTTCTTCCTTCATTACTGTTTTAAATTCGGCATTTTTTGTTTTTTGGCCAGTAGATAGTTTTTCTCATTACCATTACCAACTCTTATTTCATAGATACGTTTTCTTCAGTTTTATAACTGAATTAACAGAAATTTCTATTTATATTATAGATCAGTCAAGATCCTTCAGAGAAACAGAAACAATAAAAATAGAAAATTAGAAAAAGACATAGATTGATTTTAAGGAATGTTCACAAAACTGTGGGGACAGGCAAGTATGAAATCTGTATGGCAGTGTGGTAGCTGGGAGCACAGGCAAGATTTCTAGGTTATAGCCTTAAGTCAGAATTCCTTTTTCTCTGTGAAACTTTAATTTTGGCTCTAAATGGTTCAAGTTGTTGGATAAGTCCATCCCTATTACTGATGGGAATTCTCTTAAAGTCAACCGATTGTAAATGCTAATCACATCTACAAAATACCTTCACCGCAACATCTAGACTACTGTTTGACCAAACAACTAGGATCAAAGCCTCACCAACTTGACACATAAAATTAACCATCATATATTAGATTTATATCAGTTACTGTCACATTGATACAAAATACAGCATTGGCTTATTATATGATGGGTCTTCTGGTTTCTCACACTATTCTTTTTATAAAAGCAATTTGTTCTGATTCCTCCACATAATTGTCTTTTATGAAGTGCACCATCTTTGCACTTGCCCAAAGTTAGGGTTGTGTTTTGTTTTGTTGTTTAAACAATACAGATTTTATGTGAATGTCCAGATTTGGAGGTTGAAATGAATTCTGTCAAATTAGAACATGTTAGATAATCTATCTCAGATTCTTAGTTTACTGTTTCTTATAAATAGTAAAAAGAATAATCCTTTTTATGAAAGAAATACTTTTGTAATAACCCTTTCTTTAGTTTCTGTCTGGCTGAAAATTCATTTCAAGTTCAAAGTGATAACACTGGGGAAAAAATGTTCATACCCTTATTCAAAACTGTTCTGTGCTAAAATTAAAGCAAAATGAAAGTCATCATAATAGGTAATCAAAATCATTCATTTGGTAAGCTAGATAAAAGCAATTTTAGAATTCTGTTAAAATAGTTAAATATAAACTATCATTGATACCTTTTATAAGAGTAAAGGGAGTGGTCAGTGGTTATTAATAAAACAAATAGTGCCATCTACTGACTTTGTAATTATATTATGAAAGCTGCCATTAACACCAATGTTATACTACGTAGGTTTCCAATGTGATAGTGCTAGTCATTCATTTGATATTTTGAATTTTCCAAGAATTTATATTCATTTAAAATGATTACATTTAAATCTCTAGCTCTGCTAACTGAAGTGGAATTTACATGTGCTTCAATCAAATGGCTGCTACTTTGCAAAATCACTGTTATCAGGAAGTAATTTTTTTAAGTGGCCTTTGTGCTAGAAACTGCATCATGTAAAAGAAATATGCCTATATTCTTGTCACACACACACAACTCAGTAAGAATTGTCACAATTGCAGATATGTACAAACAATTAGACTCCCATCACCCCCCAAAAACTCGCTCAAATGATTGATTAAAGAAAGGCAAGCATTGATATAACTTACTAATAAAGGAGAAACTGAAGCAGATTTCATAACAGGTATATTCCAGAGGATCATAATTAGCTCCCACCACCTTTTAAATTAGATATGATCTTACAGAGGAAGTAACACTTCAAGAGTTTTACGGACAATCAAAATAACATGGTAATTGAATAATATGATATACTACATTTAAATAGTATTACATATTACATTTAAAATTTTTAAATGCAGAGAAAAATTTCTTCTTGTGGCCCACTAGCTACACTGTGAAGTTTATGGAAAGCAGAGCAGAAGGGACAGGTCTGTGCTCAGTGTCTGCTTGCAGAGTATAGAGAAATAATGGCTCCAGAGATGAGGACATAGGGCCAGAGAGCTGAATCTCCAGAGACCACCTTTCAAGGTCATTGATGGCCTCAGGGTTCCAGGTAAGGCTTGGTGAATACAATACCCTATACCTTAATATACTGTTTATGGGCATAGGTGCCATGTCAAGACATAAGACTTAATTTCCTACCAAAGTACAAAACACTAATTTCTTCTAACTCTAAATTCTGGGCTCTCTCCCTGAATAATCAAGCTTTTCCTGGAACATTGCTAAGCTTTCTTGAGAAGAGAGGAATCCTGTGAAAGTCCAACATAAAAATAGAATTAGCAGTACCTTCTAAGTTTATTCCTTTGTTCATTCATTTCAGGAGTACTTCAAAGCAGGATGGTTTTGCATAACACATTCATCTGTATAATGTTGTATTTATTGAAGTTAGAATAATTTTTGCTTAAAAATAAATGAAATCACAGTATATGATTCCAGATGTAGGGTCTATGAGGAAGGATATGTAGTATATATGGTCTAAGCCTTAGGATGTAAGACTTTAAAACCCAAGGCCAACAAAGTTAGCAAAATCTTACATCTTCAGTGGGTATTCTTGGATAAAGAAAATTAAATTGTAAGAGTTTACAAGAATAAGAAAGGTTAAATACATAATTACCTCACTGTATCTATTGAAAAGTTCTCCCAGTATAAACTTATACTTCACATGCATTATTTTGATGAGCAGGGGAGGAATCACAAACTGATTAGAAAAAAAATGGTAATTTGGGATCCTATAAAACAAAGCTTCTGTCTTCTGTTAAATGTTGTTTAATCCCCTTTATTAGGCAGCAGTGCCACGTGCTCAAACATAAAATTACTAGAGAGTTAATAGCGTGATAATATTTACCTTAAGGCAAGTAGGATTTCAGGTTATTTACAGCAAAGTAGTCTCAAAACATTTTATAGGTGAAATATAGGTTAATTTTCTTCTCTTTAATATATTGCAGGCATATCCTATTTCTATAACTCCTTGCAGTAAGCTAAATAAAGGGCCCTAAAAATAAGACGCCCTAATCTATGGAACCTGTAAATGTTACCTTATGTTGAAAAAGGATCTCCCAAATGTGATTAAATTAAGGAATTTGAGATGGGAAGATTGTTCTGGATTATCTGGGTAGGCCCTGAAGACCATCATAAGTGTCCTTACAAGAAGGAAGCAGAGGGAGGTCTGACATACGCGAAGGAAAGGCCATGTATGAGAAGACAGACTAAAGAGTTCGACAGAGGCTGGCTTGGAAGACTGGAGTGATGTAGCCACAAACCAAGGAGTGGCAGCAGCTACAGAAACTGAAGTAGGAGGACACCTTGATTTAGGCCCCGTGACACTGATTCAGACTGTGGCCGACAGAACACTGAAACAATAAATATCTGTCGTTTCAAGACACTGAGTTTGTAGTAATTTGTTGTATATCGCCATAGAAAACTGGTATACTCTATCATCCAGGCGTATCTTTCAAAATAATGGATATCATTTAAATACTTTGGTTATCATTAGCACCATGGTAAACCTTCTGCAAAAATGTCTCTAAATCTAATATCTCTTTTCTCCTCAAATCATACTCCTCTCCTTCCTGCTTACTCTGCTCCAGCCATACTGGATCCCTTAGTATACAAGATTTCAGGCCTGTGTGTGCCAGCTGTTTCCTTTGATTGAACTGTTTTTTTCTCAGATATCATAAGTATAACTCTTACCTTCTTCAAGTCTTAGATCAATTTTACCTTCTCTCTCTCTCTCTCTCTCTCTCTCTCTCGGAATAGGTCTATTCCTACTACTCTATTCAACATTGCAACCTCCTTCCCTAGCCAGCATAATGGAGGAATTGTACCCTGTTCCCTTTTATTATTTTAATCTCATTTCAACCTCTAAAATGTTATATAATTTACTTAATTGTTATGTTTATTTTGTAACATCATTTTACTCCCTCTAGTTATGTAAGCTTCATGAGTAAATGATTTTATCTCTTTTGTTCGCTAATGTATTCCCAATGCATAGAACAATATCTAGCATATAATTGGCATTCAGTAATCTTTTCCTGAATGAATAATTGAAGAAAAACATTTAAAAGTCTATTGCAAAAAGTGAGAGATGCTCATACCCTAAATCATACCGAAGCAAAGTTCAGCTTTTACTTCAAGGTGACTCATTGTCAAGTCTTCCTGTGTTTTCATTTTCAGTATCTGTTCTGTGTCCTGTAAAGGCTCAGACTTCATTAATATGGCCACAGAATGGGCAGTGACTTATAGATATGCTACTGCTGTATCCTGATTATCAGACAGGCTGAGAGCTTGCTATTTACATAAGTTCTCAATGAGTCTCCACAAAAAACTATCCCCTGGGCAAAGGCAAAAGTGCCAGGGACTGTTTTATACAAAGTTGGATCTTAAAGACCCTGCCAAACTAGGGTCTAGTAATTCCCTAACTAGTCAGAAACTCATATTGAACGGATATAAAGGAAAAATTACTGAGCATTTTCCAGACAGGCTGCCTAACATGTAGAGAGGTAAATTTCTTTAGCAGACCACTTAGCTAAATCTTTTCTGATCTATTAACATGGGAAGTCAAGAGGAGCTCCCCATTTCATTATGGAAAGGGGCTAAAATACTGAAAGAGTAAATCACTATCAAAAGTGATAGAATATGATTTGCACTGTTATGAAATTATAAAGGTGTATTCTGCAAAAGAAATCAGGAAGGGTCGTGTGAAAGATGGTGCTCTAAAATGAAGCAGGATGATAGCACACATGACCTTCAGGAGGAAAAGAATCAAGACAGAATGCTGAAGATTCAGAACCTCTGTGACTGTCAACTGCTATGTGAGCGACACAGGGAACAGGGAAAGAGAAGGTCCACTGGCATGAGTTCCTAGTCATATGAATGCTGAGGAGAGACACATAACGACTTTCAGGACCATCTTAGGTAATATCCATACTTTCTTGATTGTACTTTCCAAAGTTGTTGAAAACTAACTTTCATATTTGATAAACTGCTTTGGTTTGCTTATCTGTGGCTTATGTTTCCCCCTTTTGTTCTTTGGAAACTCATTTCAATAATAAACAGTTTCAATTAAAAGGAGTTTCTGTTTGACTTTTTTAAAAAGGATGATGTAATTATTCACATTGGAAATTAACATCATGGTAACAGGTTTTGAACATTATTTTAGGAAGAAGTGAGAAATGTATCACCTTACTCTAGTTCAAAAAGGTGTGTTTTAACTTACATATTTAGAATTTACTGGTTAGAGAAGATTCTTGCTGAAAAAGTTATGAATCATAGAACCTCAAGACTAATAAATCAGAGAACACTGTTATTTAAAAAAAAAAAGACAAAATATGAAAAGTCTTTAGTTGCAAATAAGTCTAAAACATCTAAATAACCAATCAGAAAAAAAAGTACTTGAGGAGTCTACAACAGTGTGATATCCAAATAATCATGTAACAGTGATGATTAGAAAAATGCCAAAATGCTGTGATCATGGAAGAAATGTTTATTTGAACCAAATTATTTTAAGTATGGTTGAACAGAATACTCATTATGTAAATCATAAATATCAGATCATTGATACAATGTTGGATTTGGGGGTGAAAGAAAATTAATGATGCTGAGAAAATGTTAATAAATCTGATGGATTTTACATATTTGTTCTTAAAAACTAATAAATAATAAGGGTTTTATGGAATATTATATGCTAAAATGCATTCATTCAGGATTTAGACACTGAGTGAAGACTTGTAAATATAAACACAGGTGAAAAACAATCCTTGTCCTCAGCTGCTCAGAATTTCATAGAACAAAAGTACATAAATAACTAACATCAAAATAAAATTCAAATTAAGAAAATTATCTTGGCACATTGATTTTGTCTTAGCCCTTTTGTATAGTCATAAATCTCAAATTTTTATTTTTTTACATCTTCCTTTATTTTTAAAAAGTACTATCCCATAAGGATGAGTGCTATTAAAAGGGATCATCCCAGGGCTAAGGATCAACCTTTGCAAAGGTAGGTAAACTAGAGAAACACAAATGGGGATAGAGTACATACAAGAAGCAGATATTGCACTAATCCAGGAAGGAGCTGATGAGAACACAAACTTATAATAGTAGGTGTGTATTGATATGTGGAAGCAATACATTTAATAGAAGTATTAAAGGATCATCCAGCCTACAAGAATAATGGTGTATGTCTGGGTCTTTTTTGGCTGCAAGTAGTGTCTTTGTGTGCTAGAGGATTTGTATGATTGGGATAGGAGAGAAGGGTTGAATATTAAACAAAACCTGCATTCTATAGCATAAAATATGTCCATGGAGAGAGCTGCAGTCAGTAAAAGACCAATTAGAAATGTGGAGCACAATATCCCCAGATTAAAGGAGTAAGAGTTAATAGATTGCCCACTATGCAATATGTGGTCAATAAAATGGAGATTCAGTAAGGATTTACAATTATGCATCCTATCAGACATGTGAAATACAATAATGAAAATCTTGAAATATTAGATATATAAATGTTCAGAGCAAGATAATAAAAAATTATAATAATAGGGTGCCTGGGTGGCTCAGTCGGGTAAGTGTCTGACTTTGGCCCAGGTCATGATCTCACAGTTCGTGGGTTTGAGCCCTGCATCAGTCTCTGTGCTGACAGCTCAGAGCCTGGAGCCTGCTTCAGATTTTGTCTCCCTCTCTCTGCTCCTCCCCAGCTCTCACTCTATCTCTCTCTCTCAAACAAATAAATAAGTAAACATTTAAAATTTTTTTAAATGTTGTAATAAGGCATTAGGTAGAAAAAATTAATCAAACATTTTGATCTACATTCATAAGATTAAGGGTTGCCACTACTCCCCAGATGGAGTAAAAAGAATAAGCCAAGGACTTGGTAACTGAAGAGTATATCAAGAACCAATTGACAGAATTTAAATATAAGATGTAGACCTGGTCATAGGGATAGTGTAGAATTTTTCTACCTTGGTCAAAGATTGTCCAAAGACTTTTCCTAATGATAAAGAAAAATGGATATTAGTCATGGAACTCTTGGAATTCATCTCCACAGACTAGGTCTACAATTAGTCTCTATATGTTGAGACTTGGGAGATGTCTGAACCGACATATTGGAGCAGTTGTTTGAAAATTTCATTATGTATAGCATCACCAAAGGTGTTCATTCAAAATTCAGAGTCCTGGTTCCTTTCTTCAGAGCTACTAATTCAGTACTATAATTCAGCATTGGAGCTCCAGGAAACAACATTATGGACAAAAAATCCCAGGTGATTCTGATAAATATTACCTATGGACCATGTTTTGAGAAACAACTGGACAAAAGAACAGTTAAGAAATAAAACTATTCTTATATTGTCTTTATTTCCAGGACTAGATAAGTTCTAGGAATGTAAAACTTGAGAATATGCAATGTACAGGTGACCAGCCTCTGCTGATAGGCTTTCTTCTCAGTTACCCGGATAGAGTGGCTCGCACAATTCATCCATCTCACCATTTCCCTCTTGGACTCACTGTGTTCTTTCCCATTGAACCCAGATGTTATCTCAAGCATGAACTGTATAGTCTCCATATGTCAGTATCAGCAGCTACATGGTTGTTATTTGAATAGTAGATAATAAAATGGATCTTTACTCTGTAGGTAGAGGAAATAATGAATCAAACTGAATCACCACTTTATTTTTGAATAAATGCTTCTTTTCTTAAAATGCTTTGAAACCACTTTTCAAACACACAGATAAATGACATATGACCTGTAACCATTTCATACTCTGCAAGATCACCTTTGCTGATACACCAAGTCAAGCAGCCTTAATTGCTATGGAATTTCATATTTACTATATTCTTAGTAAATCATTTGGTAGACAAACTGCATTTCCAATATTTCAGAATTCTGAAAAAAATCCTCATGACTCTAAGAAATAGAATAGTTATGATATTCTACTATAGTTAAACTCAAAAAATAATGTACAACTGAAAAATTATACACACACTTAGAAATCTAAGTATATACATAAGGCACAAAGACACTTTTATGTTTTAAAAGATCTTTTTGCACATGACAATTTAACTTTATGAGGACAGTTTTAATATCAGTCATATTTTTAAATACAAATCATGTGCAAGTACTTTAAAGCTCATTTTTCTTAAGGCATCATCTACAAATAAAGCATATGAAATATATGACAAGAGAAAGAATATGAAATCAACATATAATTTTGTATCCAAGACAATGAAGAAAATAAAATCAAGTAATGAGTCATACTTCAGAATAAGTATTCTTTTCAGTACAATTACCCTTGAGCTCTTTTAGAGGATTAAATATGAGATTTGCATTCAGTGTTTCTTTAGGGCTGCATACTAATGGATTTCATCAGTAAGGATTAGTACAATAC